TTCGTTCGGTTATGTTCGTTTATGTTCGTTCGTTAGTTTGTTTATGTTCTTTCATTTAGTTTAACCCAATCTTCTTAAATCAATTTTGGTGACCAATTTGTAAGTATCTTAAAAATATTAATAATATGATATTCTGATGACCAACTCCTAATTAACCCAATTTTATTGGATATTAAATCCAATATGTTAACCCGAGGCACCTCGCACCTATATTCATTTTTCCCCTTTTTCCCAAACCCTAGTGTTCATGGAGAGTGGAGACGATCACTGAAAGCTTCAAAACAAGTTATATTATAGTGAAATCTGAAGTTTTACAGGTATGTTTTCATCTCTTTCTATGTTTTATTTGGCTTAGTAGTTGATATGTAAAGTTATGCGGTATCTTCACATCTAAAACTCAAGAAAACATCATACTTCTTTCTAGAAATAGAGGAAGATAAAGGTAACAATCGGAAGTATATGAGCATTAGTAAAGAAAAATATATAGAATTTGCCAGAAAACAAAACAAAGGTTTCTATGCATTCTGAAAAAAGAGTAATAGCGGAAGTAATGGGTTTTCCAGGAAACCCATTAATAAGTAGAAAATACACTTTGACAATGAACTTTTGTTCATAGTTCTTGTGTGACCTTTAGTTTTGGAGTAGACTTTAGGTACGTTAAATTTGAATGGTGGTTTAGCAATAATATCAGTTACAATATGTAGCATCGAAGGGATTTCGGATCTATGTTATTGCCTTGTAGTCCAATTGTACCTTTCGAAATCTTCATGCTGTTAAATTTTCTACTCTGTCAACGGAAAGAACCATTATTAACAACCTCACTAAAGTCTGACATTGATGTCACAAAACTTTTAGCCGGAATTATTAGAATAATGTAGTGGAAAATGATTGTTCATATGTAATCATGGACCACTAATAAATGTTATAGCATTAAATTAAAGTCATGTGAATCATTTAATACTTTAAAAGATCGATCGAAATATTTGATATCTTCAAACATTTCATCACTGCTAATCAGCTCTTACGTTATTTATCACTGTAGATTTGGTTGATTTACATTGTCGACTATTTTTCATGAAAGAACAATGGAAGGTAGGGTCTCCAACGTTTATGTTCATTTATGTTCGTGTTCATTTATGTTCGTGTTCGTTTATGTTCGTTTATTTATTAAATGAACGAACATGAACGAGTTATTCATTAATAAACGAACATGAACAAAAAAAATGTTCGTTTATGTTCGTGTTCGTTTATGTTTGTTATTTATAAATGAACGAACATGAACATACCTCCGTTCGTGGTGTTCGGTTCGTTTATATGCCTAAACAAAACTAACAAAGTGCCTCATGTAGTGGAAGTTATGGTCCCCGTGTGTGAAGCACTATGTTTTGTCGGGAGCGGATAAAATGCAATCCAAAATATTTAAAAGATTTGGGGGGCCAAATACAATTTTACTTCTTACAAAAAAAAATCATACAATCGAAATTATAAACCTAATACTTATACATTGTTAAATATAAAATATTTTTAACGAACATAGATTGGTTCAAGTGATAAGTTGTTTGATATTGTTTAAGTAAGGTCTAGAGTTTGAATCTTGTGTAAAAAACCCTATTGGTAGACTCATCCACCAAAGTCAGGCGAGCGATGCGGGTCGATCCAAATCAGTCAAGATAAAATCTTGGAACCGGGAGGGCAAGAATATATATACATTTACAGTTTTTCCATCGTATAACAAAAAATACCTTTAAAATACTTCAAATTTGATTTGACGTTAGAAGTGGTTTATATATATATATATATATATAAAATGAGGAGTTTATATATTTTTAACCAATTTTATATTTAATTTGATAATTTTTCTGACGTGATACTTTAATTTTATATCAAAATTGATTATTTTTTATAACATGATGACATCTGAATTTAAAATTTAAACATATGATAACGTGATTGTCATGTGATATCTTATAGGTTTAGTCAGCATAGTTGAGTTCCCCCACTTGTTGGCAGCAGACTTGGTGACATTGTATTTAAGCACCACCGTAGATTGGAAAACCAAAAGCCTCACGTTTTGATTAACAAGTTGGAGTTGTTTCATTTCCTCCATTTCTGCAATTTTTAACATGGAAACGATCACTCAAAAAGGTCAACACAGCAGCTCTATGGAAAGCTTCTGCATGACTACTACTACCAAGGGTGGTGTTGTTGACCCCTTGAACTGGGGTGTTGCAGCTGAGTCACTCAAGGGAAGCCATTTGGATGAAGTGAATCGTATGGTAGCCGAGTATAGGCGGCCTTTGGTGAAGCTCGGTGGCGAGACCTTGACGATTTCTAAAGTTGCAGCCATAGCTAGAGCTGACTTGGGTGTCAAGGTTGAGCTTTCAGAGGACGCAAGGGATGGCGTTAAGGCTAGTGCTGATTGGGTCTTTGATGGCCTCAGCAAAGGCACCGACACCTATGGCATTACTACCGGTTTTGGTGCTGATTCTCGGCTAAGAACCAACCAAGTATCTGCCCTTCAAAAGGAGCTAATTAGGTAAGCTTTTATATTATGCAATGCATAAATATTCTGTATAAATTGAATGCGTTTTGTTGGTTCAGGTTCTTGAATGCTGGGATCTTTGGCAGTGGAACAGAGTCATGCCAACCATGTTCAAAGTACTGAGCAGCACAACCAAGATGTGAACTCCTTGGGACTAATCTCTGCACTAAAAACTTGATGTCCACAACATTCTTGGTGGCTCTTTGCCAAGCTATTGATTTAAGGCATTTAGAAGATAACTTGAAGAACACAGTGATGAACACCGTGAGCCAGACAGCTAAGAAAACCCTCACTGCTGGTCCATATAGTGAAGTTCACCGATCAAGATCCTGCGAAAAGGATTTGCTCAAAGTCATGGATCGCGAATACATTTTCACCTACATCGACGACCCTTGCAATGCTAAACATCCATTGATGTTAAAGCTTAGGCATGTTCTTGTTGATCATGCATTGGCAAGCGGTGAGAATGAGAAGAATGCAAGCACTTCAATCTTCCTAAAGATCACAGCTTTCGAAGACGAGTTAAAGGCTGTTTTGCCGAAGGAGGTCGAGAGTGCAAGGGTGTCATTCGAGAATGGAAATGCCGCCATTCCTAACAAGATCAAGGAGTGCAGATCGTATCCATTGTACAAATTCGTGAGGGAGGAGCTTGGAACTGGACTGCTAACTGGAGAAAAAGGGAAGTCACCTGGTGAGGAGTTTGACAAGGTGTTCACTGCAATGTGCAAAGGGAAGATCATTGATCCGATGCTTGATTGTCTTAAGGAATGGAACGGCGCCCCTCTTCCAATATGATAGTTTGCATTGGTTTCACTGTTTGGGAATTTGTTATCTAATCTTTTTCTTTTGTTTTTCACCTTTTGTTCCAATCCGTGGTGGGCTGAGAAATGTTTCAATGTAATAAAACCAGAAGCATGTTTGAGTGTGTGTGCAAAAATTAAGTCTCATGTTGATTCAAAAATTTTCGTAAAAAGTTACAATTTTCATGTTATGAAGATGACGCAGTCGAGAATAGATGGACTCATTTTACTATCAAAGGAGATGTTATTTCCGTCGTAAACAGACTCACGAACCACCAGACAGACATTTTGATGTTAGGATTGTTACTCAACGATTCTCCAACCTTCAAGGTTTATTATATCAACCGAGAGACTAATCGGGTTGCTCACAATCTTATGTATTGGACCTTGTCGAGGACCAATCATTTTTTCCTTTTCGATGTATCGAAACGTATTAAGAAAATGTTATTCTTGATACTATTGGAATATGAATGAAACTTAAAAAAAATTTGTTCATATGTCTACATTAATTACAAGAGATACATAGATGACTTATATTGATTTTCGTCGATCTTCAAAATATATGGAATTAGTTTTATTCAATTAATAATGAACGAGAATGAAATAAGAGGACATTTTACCTATAATCTACCTTCTTCATATGTAAATATCCGAAAGATAATCTGTTATCGACTAAGATTCGTGATAATATAAATATTAGAGAAAAGTCCAAGCATCTTCAACGATTTGAATATTGTAAAATTTCATATAACAACAAGAAAACAATATCCAACTATGTTAGCATCTTTAAACTCTAAACTATAGTATTTAGACAATTCCTTTGTACTTGATAGTTTTAATACACACTTTATTCAAATTAAATCATTCTTAACATAATTTTTAAATACGGCGAGTTTACTTTATTTTGACTTAATATAAAAATAAGTATCCAAATTATATCATTTGCTAACATTAAGTGCCTAAAAAAATTTTTGCTCATAATGGGTATTTAATATTTTATCCATTATACTTACAGGTGCTTACATTTTATCTGTTAAAATAGTTTGTTAAATTACACATGTCACGTTTATATATTTTTTAAAATTTTTATTTAAAAACCTTAAAAATTTATTGTTTCTTAAAAATCCAAATCTCTTTAAAATTACAAAAAAACTCCAAAATCCTAAAATTCCTATTTTAAATTCTATTTCTAGCTATTGTCGATAATCCGTGGTCACCATCATCGTCGTCGAGTGGTCATCCATCCGTTGTCCACCCAATGATCGACTGTTGTCTTTGTCATTACCCTAATCTCCTAAATCCCTAAAATTTCAAATACTAATAACTTTAATCTTAAACCCTAATTTTCTAAGTTATAAAATCCTTAATTTCTCGATGAATGGTGCAATACAAAGGCTGGTGCGGGGACGAGGAGGGAGAGGAATTTGTCGCAGATGAATTGGACTGGGGAGGAGGGAAAATCTGCGCAACAATGGGAAATCTTTGTATGAATTGTACATGGGGGATGAATGCAGGTTGGGGGAGAATTTTTTTTTCAATTTTTTTAAAAATATAATTTTTTTAAAAAATAATATTTTTTTAAAAAATATATAAAACATAACACATGTCATTTAACAAATTTTTTTTAACGATTGTTATGGTATAGAGACTTAAAATTATGACAAAGAAAACTTTAGACGCCTACATTAAACGAAAAAACTCTTTAGTTACCTAATGTTAGCAAATGGTATAGTTCATACATTTTTTTTCATTAAACCTTTATTTTTAAAGATTTATATTGATATTAATTTAATTTTTATCTGAATTAATTTTATTCAAATCCTAGAATCATAAATCGTTAACATAATCCCTAAACTAAAAAACTTAAAACCCTATACATACAATCTCACTTAAAACATAATTTCCTTTTTAAACTTTTTAAAAGTACACTTCATTAATCATATCTTTTATTTAAAAAATAATACTTATTTGTTGATTGATCATGTCACCTAGAACAAAGATATGTTCTATCAAACGTAAAAGACACGGTTGATAGAATATGTCTTTAACTTACTTGATATATGATCAATAAGATGTGTGCTATTTTAGAAAATAAAAAATACTAAATTAAAAAAAATGTTAGGATTTTTTAGGTAAAAAAACAATATTTAATCCGATAATTTACTAAACACCGCGATTGTGCCTTCATCAATCACTAGAAGTCACTATGAAAACCAAAAGTGAAGGGATTATAATGAGAAATTGAGGGAGTTGGAGTTGTGAGAACTTGCTTAATTACCTTATTTAACTCCTTTTTATTTATTTTTTTCAATTCAAAATATCAGTAAATCAAATTTATTTCATCTAAAGTGAAGAGATGGAGGATAAGAAGGTTGAAAAAGAAATATTTGCAAAGTGAAGAAGAAGAAAACTCAAAGGGTTTCTTTCCTATTTTAGCTCTAATTTGGGTTACTTATTTTCTTTAATTAAAATTTATTTATTTATTTATTTATTTATTTATTTATTTTTCATTAGTTCTTCACTCGTAACTTTTTGAGTGGTTGAAAGAAATTTATTTTTAACAAATTAATAATAGGGGCTCAAAGTAAGTGCTATATGATTGGGTTTGATTTTTTAAATTTTTTAACTCGTCATTTAATTTTTTATTCGATTAGTATACAGTGTAAGTTTTTTCAAATAAGCTTTAGGTTTTTAATTTTTATATTTTATTTTGGAAATAATTTTATAAGTTACTTTTAAACTTTGATAAACTTTTTGAATTTTTTCATGATTTTTTTTTTAAAATTATTTTTTCAAGTAAATAAAATAATTGATAACTTGTATATAATATTTTAAGGTTTTTAGTTTTTTTTATAAAACACATATTTTATATTATAAAATAATTAAAATTAATTATAAATTATCAAAAAATAAATTTGATTTGAATCAAATTGTCGTAACCGTCTTTCGGGTGCGCCCGGAATTGGGCTTTGACTTGGGTTAAATGATTAGGAGTCGCCACCGATCATTTATTTTAAACAAAATGGGCTGATCGTATACCTTATTTCTTACATGATCTGCTTCTTACCAGTGATATATCGGATTCGGGAGTCGGTTACAGTCAAGGAAGGGTCAGCACCCTTGAACTGCCCTTTCGGTACTGTGTAATTTCCAATTGTCTTAAATTAAGAAAATTATAAGTCTAATTTAAAAGGTAAAATAACGATCCAAATTACTTACCGCTGACAGTTTTAAAAGTGTACCCTTACAAAAGTTAAGAAATATGTTAGAGAGAGAAAAAAATGAAAACAAATACAATTGAGAGAGAAAAAAGGAAATAGGGATTCAACATGAAGATAAAAAAATGAAGAAAATAATAAATAAAAAAATAGATAGAATAGTAAAAATCTATATACAATTAACAAATAATAATAAGAAAGAAAGTAATAAAATGAACATCAAGAAAATATAAAATAAATAAAAATGGAAATAAAGTAGAAAATGAAAAAAAAAGAAAAATATACATATGCAATATAATCAAATAACAAATAACCAAAATATATAGTAATACAAATATCAAAAGTATATATACATAGTGATAAAATATAGTAATATATAATAGTGATAATATATATATATTAAAATGAAAAAAGAATAAATAATAATAATAAAAAGTAAAATAATAATAGATAATAGATAATAAAAATATATAATAATAAATATACTATTGTAATTAAAAAATAAGAAATAAAAAACATTAATAATAAAATGAAGGGACCGAATTGAATGAAAAAAAGGTTAGGGGCTCAAATTAAAAGGAAAAATAAAAAATTATAGGCCGAATTAAAATGGATTTAGGGGGAGAATTTAATATTTAAAAATAGAAACATGCCTCGGGGGTAGATCTAGGGTCGAAACTTCGAAACCCCACCCCTTTTTGGTCATCGGCGCAACCCACGTTTTGGGTTATTCAAACCAAATATCAAGAAAAATAGCATGCACATCCAAGAAATGAACGAATCAAGGTAAAAAAGATGCTACCTTTTATTTCCTTTTCGAATCGTTTACAATAGATTTGCCTTTGTATTTTTTCGTGCTTTCTTCTGTATTTTGTATGTAAATTGTGTGTTACAATAGTGAGTTACAATGGCTATTTATAATGCTTCCGGATCTTATTTTTAGGAGTTTGAATCATAGTAGAACTCTATCCTATTTTTAGGAGTTTGAATCCTAGTAAAACTCTATCCTGTTTTTAGGAGTTTGAATCCTAGTAAAACTCTAACGCTATGTTTGTTTTCTGAATCCTACTAAATCAAGGTTGTTGATAGTGTTGTACCCGGACGAAAAGGTGTGTTGGCAGCTGCCCCTCTTTGCCCATAGTCGTGTAACGGGGATATGGCAAAGATTAAAAGACACACTTTTCGTTCGGTGGAGTTGAAAATTAACTTTGATGTTTCAATAACTCCCTGTCGAATTGAGTTACAGATGACTCCTTCGTCATGAAGTCGAGTTCATGATATGGAATTAAAGTCGTAGTTCGGAATTCGAATCGGCACGTGGCTTATCGTTACCCTTCGGTCTTCTTCTTGGATCGAAATCGAACTCATAAATCTTCGTTGACATATAGCTTTTCTTGACTTAAGTTATGTTGTTTGAAAATGATTGCTTGTCACTAAGGCACGGCTAACTCAGGTCTTCTTCTCGACTTGAAAACTTCGACTGCAACAGGAAAGTAGTGTGATTGATTTGTCATCGAGCTGAATGGAATCGAACTCGACAATTTTGTTGGCAGATAGCTCTTCTTGCCTTGAGCTATGCTGTAAATTTGATTTGCCTCTGAGTTGAATGTAATCAAACTCGAAGGTCTTTGATGACTGATAACCCTTCTTGCCTTGAGTTATGCTGCAAATGATGTGCCTTGGAACTGAGCGTAGTCAAACTCGAAGGTCTTTGTTGACAGATAACCCTTCTAGGCTTGAGTTATGCTGCAAATGATGTGCCCTCGAAGTTGAGTGT